AATGGTCAATTCGCGAAGCGAAAAAATATATTGATTAAGGAGGGATGCGGCCTCTGGCTCGTTGCTCCGACAACGGCAAAAGCTTTGGCCAGTGCCAATCCGCAATCCTGTTTAAATATTCTTGTCGGGGTTTGTGGGTTCTATGAACACACTCGGATGCAAGCCCTCGGATCTGATCTGAGGAGTAAAATCCGCACGCTCCACAAAACCAGAGCTTCAAACTTCCGTGAAACCTGAGGTTGTGTGAGGAATGCAGCCACCCCCCCGCCCTATGGACTTTACACCCTTGGGGTATTCGTGAGACAACACCGTCTCCAGACTGCAGTGCAAAACATGGCGTATTCAACCAGTCACCGAGACATTTTTTGGTCGCGGACCCTTTGCATCTGGTACACTGGCGGCCACTGTCATCAAGGATATGCTTGGTACAGAAACGAGCGACCGTGATTGGGGCAGGCGGATGTAACCGAAGTTTTTCAGACTCACGCCTGGGCCGCGGATCCGCGGCCATGGCGTCCATGGTGGACCTGATGAGCCGACGCCTGACCAACTCCGCTCTCTTCTCGTGCTGAGCAACTCGGGCGCGCACAGCTGCTGGTGTTTTGTGCTCATGTGCTGCTCGGCCTGCCAACTGATCTGCTCGATGATTGCCGTGCCACATCCACGGCGCATACCCTTTTTCTGCAGCTTCGACTTCCGACAAGTGTGAATTCATGAAAACGACTGAGACACGGCCGTGTCGATCCTCAGCCTCATGCGTGTGCCGACCGATAGTTTGCCAGAGGTCGGTGTCTGAATTGGCCTCACGTGGGTTGAGGTACATTCTGGCGGACCAGCCTTTCTCAACCCCCTCGTTGTCTGTGAGATACACCACTGCTCCTCGCGTACGTCTCAGGACATACTCCAGAACAGCAAGCTCACCACGATACACTGTCTGCCACCGTCCTTGCAGCGGTCCATATCCTTCTCGGCCTAACCGTACAGGATCTCGTTGATCTTTGATGGTGAAACCGGGGCCGGCACGTCTTAACTTTGGTGAGTGCGTGTCGGCTCCTCCACTTGCGTCGCAACAAACATATACTGGCTGAGCGTCGGTCCCAACAGCAAGAATATCACCATCAGGTAGCTCTGGCACGAAGGTCCATCGCTCCTCTTTGGAAGATGCTGGTACCTCCGTCCACGATCTGGGCAGCAGCCCCCGAAACCAAAAACACGCGTACTGCTCGTGCTGGCTGACTGCTTGGGGCACATACTGATCTGACTCACGATAAGCTTTGTGCCCTGTGCTCTGGGGACATAGCCAACAGCGATGCAGCTGTGTCTCGGGATGGCGTTCGCCGTTCAGCAAACACCGTGGACACAACTGAAACTCGGGATCGTCAACCTCGAACCGTGTTCTCGGCCATGTGCCGCCTGTCGCCACTGCCAGTATGGTCTCGGCCCACTGGGCTCCCTTCGGAGCTTGCGCTGGCCGACTCACGAGTGCACGGAGGGATTCGTTGTCGATACCATCTGACATGCCTTCCCCGCAATAATGAGTCGCTGCCTGCTTCCACAATACATCCATCACTGACATAGATAGATCTGCTAAAATATCACTGGAACCCTCGGAACCTGTCAACTCCTCACTGTTGAAGTGCCATTCGATCTGCTCGCTCGTGCCCCCACATCTCTGTAGTTGCCAGTGCGACGGCGAGATCGGTTCCCACTTGTACTGCATCAGCATCGCGATCACTGCACTGACTGGCCCACGAACGTGGCGAGCCTTTTCAGTGCTGGCGAGCGCTTGCATCTTGTTGAAAATAGTGGGCCAAACTTTGACGACCGACGATCGGATACCACCCGTTGCCGTCCAAAGCCTCAGCCACTCGCTCAAACATTCTCTACTCAAACGAACTGCGGGGTCTTGCTGCGGAGCCCTCAAATCTAGCGTCGTGGTCAGGCATCGGCCCCTGCGGTTGGAGCCACACACCGTGCCCAGGTGTCGACGAAGATTGAGAAGCTCTGACCCGAACATACCGTGAATTTGATGTCAGTAGTGGGCAACCGTCTGCCATGCCACCTTCTCCAAAGTGGCCGTGACTGTGTACTGTCTGCTTGCTCTCGCCCATCTAGAAATCTTCCGATGACGCCCTATCGCTTTCACTACTCGCCCACGCCTCGTCGCTCTTGCGGCACGTCGCCCTGCTGCAAGATCCACTCCAAGATATGTTGCTTGAAGTACTGGCTTCAGATGATGCCCGTGGCGTCGGAGAACCGCTGTGATCGCCTTGGCCTGCTGGTGCCTGGCCGCGATAAGCACGCTCTTCGATGCCACGGGCAACTTCTCCTCTGCTAGGAAATCAAAGGTGTCGGCGATACCCTTGACAATTTTCCTGAAAACAGAACGCTCTGACCCCACTGCTGATTCACTCAGATCATCGATCCAAATCCGTACATGCAGTCCTGGATTGCCCTCCGAGGGGGAGGAGGAGGAGGAGGAGGAGGAGGAGGAGGCGGAGGAGGAGGAGGAGGAGGAGGAGGAGGAGAAGGAGGAGGCTGGCATTGGGAGGCCCACAACAGGAGCCCAAACACGTTCAGGAGAGCCCAGACGCCTCGAGAGGCCCTCGGAGGCGCCCCGAGGGTCCTCCCGAAGGGCCTCGAAGGGCTTCGAGGATCAGGGGCAATGGCAGGGGGGGGATGGGCATAGGGGGGGGCGGGATGCATCGACCCCCAATCACCCATCGATCGCCGATTGGTGTCTGATAGCCCCACCCAGGCCAGGAGCGTAAAGAGTCCCTATCGGGGGCCAATCGCCGACCTATTCGCGATGCATCGCCGATTCCAGGTCGATGTCCCCCCCTTATGCCAGTCCCCCCTATCGTTGCCCCTCAGAGGGAAGGGTGCCGCGGGCGGCGTGGTCGTCTTCGGCCGTTCCGTCCCCGTTCGTCTGCGTCGTCGTCGTCGTCGTCGTCGTCGTCGTCATCGTCGATGTCGACGACGTCGTCGTCCGTCGTCGTTGCGTCGTTGTCGTCGTTTTCGTCGTCGTCTTCGTGTGTTGTCGTTCGTCGTCGTTCGTCGTCGTTCGTCGTTGTCGTCGTCGTCGTCGTCTTTGTCGTCGTCGTCCTCGTCCTCGTCCTCGTTCGTCGTCGCCGTCGAGGAGTCCTCTGAGAGCGGCAGCAGGCCAAACCACGTGACAAAAAAGAGTGGCGTCGCCCAGGTGTGCGAGCTCCCTGTGGAGCTCCCTATGGAGCCACGAAGCGCGCGAGGGGTGTGCCGAACAGGTTGGGGTCCGCCAAACAGGTTGGCACGCGGAGGGCAGAGGCAGGAATAGGAGGAGGGGAGGATGGGGGAGGGGGAGGGGGAGGATGGAGTGAGACGCGGGGCGCTGTCTCTTCACAACTGGTCGGAGGTTGGGGGGTGAGATCGAAGTGGAACGGAGAGCCCCCCTACCGGGAAATCGATTTCGGTTTCGTGTTCGTGCGTGCCGTGCGGGCGAGGCGAAGCTGCGTGGGCGGGCGAGAGGAAAGTCTCCTGTGGCTGAGGCGCGGCCGGACCAAATGATTCTCCCCCGGGCGGCTGGTGGCGCGCGGTGTCCCGCCGGTGTCCCGCCGCTGTCCCGTCGGTGTCCCGTCGGTGTCCCGATGATGATGTTGATGATGATTATGATGATGATTATGATGATGATGGTAATGATGATGATGAGATGATGTTGATGATGGCGATGATGATGATGATGATGATGATGATGATGATGATGATGATGATGATGATGATGATGATGATGATGATGATGATGATGATGATGATGAGATGATGATGATGATGATGATGATGTTGATGTTGATGATGATGATGATGATGATGATGATGATGATGATGATGACGTCGATAGTGATATCGATTGTGAGATCGGTAGTGAGACCGAATGAGACAGCGAATGAGGTCTTCTCTCAGGTTCTCCTCCACCACGCACAGTGTTGCGCCGCTTCCGGGGCCGATCCACGGTGCAATGTCGCGCCGCACCGAGGCCCCTGAAGGACCTAGAGAAGGCCCCCGTATCTTGATTATTGTTTCTGGAGAGCCCTGCTCGCGTTCGGGCCCGTGCCATCTGAGTAGGGGCAGAGCAAGAGGTAGATCGAAGCTTTCCGCTTAGCGGGGTTAGTAGGGGCTACGCGTTGCCGCCGCCAGCGCCGACGTCAGCTCCGGTTCCTACACCAGCACCTGCGCCCGCACTCCCGGCGCCTGCACCAGCAGTTGGACCAGTCTCCAGGGCGCCAGGCTTTGCCAGCGCCCGCCGAGCCACGACCGCCACAAGCACTACCGCAGAAAGATCCCTTGGTCGTCGTTGTCAGTGAGCGGGCCGGCCGGGCTGCTTCGCTTTCGCTGGGCTTCCAGCTTTCGCTGGGCTTCCAGCCGTTTGCGCTGTTTGAGCAAGGGAAGAAGAGCTATGATGGCGGTACATCGGTCTCGACCGCCGAAGGGCAGCCGTTGAGCAATATTTTGAAGTGATTTAGTCAGTGGCGACAAGAGGGGCTTCAGCAGGCCTCCGACAAAAAAATCTCCACTGGCATCGTCAGGAGAACAATCACCACTGTTGCCCATTGCTCGGCCCCTCCACCCCCCCAACCTCCTTATCACCCGTAGGGTGGTCGTATAGGTAAATTTTGCTCCCGCCCTGGATCCTGACCCCGAGAGGTTCCCCGAGGTAAAAGGGCTGGAAACGTCCAACAAAACCATCCGGACTCCCTCCTCGATCCTCGAGGCGGGCTGGGGGCAAAACTTGGCACGGGGCGCTGTCTCTGTACAGCGAGGACCCGGCTCCCAGCTCCTAGCGACGGCGTTTGCGACAGCGACGGCGACGGCGACGGCGACGGCGACGGCGACGACAAGGACGAGGACGAGGACGAGGGCGACGACGAGGACGACGACGACGAGGACGACGACGACGACGACGAGGACGACGACGAGGACGTCGACGACGACGACGACGATGACGACGACGACGGCGCGGCGCCCAGGCGCCCGCGCCGCGTCCCGCGGGCCGCGCGGGGCGGCGCTCGCGGACGGCGTCCTCTCCGCCCGGCTCTTCGCCTCTGCCGACGGCGCCGCGCCCGGGCTAGCCCGCGCGCCGCCGTCCCGCCGGCCAGCGGCACGCGGTCGCGGGCGCGGGCCCGCAAGCCCGGGCGAGGGAGGAGAAGGGGGAGGGAGAGGCTGGGGAGGAGGAGGGAGGAGGAGGAGGAGGAGGAGGAGGAGGAGGAGGAGGAGGAGGAGGAGGAGGAGGAGGAGGAGCAGGAGGAGCAGGAGGAACAGGAGGAACAGGGCAGGAGGAGGAGGAGGAGGAGGAGGAGGAGGAGGAGGAGGCGGAGGGATGATGGATGATGATGATGATGAGATGATGATGATGATGATGATGATGATGATGATGATGATGATGATGATGATGGTGGTGGTGGTGATGATGATGATGATGATTGATGATGATGATGATGATGATGATGATGAGGAGGAGGAGGAGGAGGAGGAGGAGGAGGAGGAGAGGGAGTGAGGAGTGAGGAGTGAGGGAAGTGAGGAGTGAGGAGTGAGGAGCGAAGAGTGAGGAGGCGGAGGAGGAGGAGGAGGAGGAGAGGAGGAGGAGGAGGAGGAGGAGGAGGAGGAGGAGGAGGATCTCGAGGAGGAGGAAGAGCAGGAGGAGGAGGAGGAGGAGGAGGAGGAGGAGGAGGAGGGATGAGGAGGCGGAGGTGGAGGAGGAGGAGAGAGGAGGAGGAGGAGGAGGAGGGAGGAGGAGGAGGCGGAGGAGGAGGAGTAGGAGGAATGAGGAATGAGGAATGAGGAATGAGGAGTGAGGAGTGAGGAGGAGGAGGAGGAGGAGGAGGAGGAGGAGGAGGAGGAGGAGGAGGAGGAGGCAGAGGTGGAAGAGCAGGGGGGCGGAGCGGATTGGGGGAAGAGGGCGTTGAGGATGAGGATGGGGATGAGGGGGAAGAGGATGGCGATGGTGGCACGGTCTCGATCCATGCAGATCGGGGCGGTTCGGTCGCCCCTCCCCTTCCCCCTCCTTTGCCGCCGCAACGGTCGACCAGATCTTGGCTGCTTTTTGCGGCTGGTTCCTGGCGACTGGTCAGGACTCCCCCCTAGTCTGCTTGCGCGACTGGCAGAAGCAGATCGGCACCGTCCCAGACGCAGACCACCACCCCTCCCCCATCGGCCAAAGATCGAAGCCCAAGAGAAAAAGCTTACAGACGGTCCTTCGTTGTCATCTACAGGCGAGGTTGATTAGTAGGTCGACCCTGCCAAATCATGGGTGCCCTCGTGTCCTGCGTTTCGCGACCCATGCCTTCTGTATTCTTGTGGCAGAAGGGTCTTGTGCCCTCTCGCGTGTCCTTTCCAATCAGCCTCGACCGTAGTGTTTGGAGGGCAGAGTCTACCTGCTTCTGGGGGACCAATCTCTCGGGCCTCTGCCAAGCACCCTTCTCACCTCCTAGCCACCAGCATCAGCGGACACACTGGGTGTCGTTGCGTACACAGGCGCATTCGGGGTGTATACGTCTAGAGACAACGCGGCCTCTGTGTTCGGCTGCGAGCAAGCTCGGAGAAAGAGCAGATCCGCCTACGGTGTGCTCCTGATCTAGAGCAGGTCCCACATGGTACTCCAACTTAGTCTGGCTTGCCTGCGCTCCCATTCGTCTGCAGTGGTTTGCTGCCCCCCCCCGCGGTTTTCCACCGTCGTTTGCTGGGCAGCGACGCCGCGGGGGTCAACGCCCTTCATGTTCTGGAGGCCACTCGAGGTGCCACTGGATCCCCCTTGCAGCCGCTGTAGGCCACCGGAGGAGCGACTGGAGGCCATTGGCGGAGCCGTTGGAGGCCACCAGAGACTCGTTGGAGCCACTGGGGCCACTGGAGGCCTGGAGACCATTGCAGGCCACCGGCGGCCACAGGGGGCTACTGCAGGAGTCTTTGGAGGCCGCTGGAGGCTCACGGGGTTCGAACGCCTGCCTGGCTTGTTGCGCCAGCTCTGGCCCACCACGCCTCGGCGCGACGCGCGAACCGCTTCCCGGTCCCCCAGGGCCCCCGGGCCCCACTTCCCAGCCCTCCTCCTCCTCCTCCTCCTCCTCCTCCGCCACTTGGCCCACCACGCCTCGGCCCCCGCCCCGTGGAGCAGAGCGACCCGCCGTCCGCTCGCAGGGCATATCAGCGTGTCGCGGGGGGGAAGGCACCGCCAGTGCACACGGCGCGGTGGCAGTGTGAGGGGGGATGTGCACATGGGGGAGATGCATCGACCCCAAGTCGCCCAGTCACTCGGCGTCGCTCGGGCGTGTGCACTTTTTCCCGCCGAGGACCATCGAGGAGCAGAGTGGAGCATCTGACGAACAATACACGCACAAGATCTAAAGATGCTCGGGGAATGGACGTCCGAGCGATGGCGAGGTCATCGCCGATAGGGGCCCGAACCCCCCACCCCGCCCCGTCCAGGAACGTGCGGATTTGCTCTCGGGGGCCTGTAGCCGATCCATCGGCGATGTATCGCCGGTTCCAGCTCGACGTGTTCCCCCCTGGAGCTGGCCCCCCTTCTCGTGGCCCCTCGCAAGCGAGAGCTCCTGACCGCAGAGTGCTCCTGGAAACCGCCGGAGCTCGGCGACGACGGCGGCGACGGCGGCGCCGGCGACGACGACGGAGCTCGAGGCCAGTGGATCTTCGACGAGCCGCTGCTGGGCACGGCCCGCGCGGCGCCGCCCGCCGCGGAAGGCGCCGCCGGCCCTGGCCTCGGGACGGCCTCGATAGCCATCGTCCAGGCACGCTCGTGCGGCGTGCCACGCTCGTGCATCTTGCATCGTCTAAGCTCAGTGGCGGGGCTTTCTGGCAGTCCAGCCCAGGTAGCGATGCGCCGTACCAGTGTTGAGTCGGGCGTGTCCCTCTACAGGAGGAGTATTCCAGAATCGTCCAAAAATAGTCCGGGGACGACTGTCTGACTATATTTGACTGTTTTTGTAGAGCATTCTCGGACTATTTTTTTCATTCTTCCTCCAAGGTCCGCCTGTAGGAGGGCATGCCCGACCTACTGGTCGTGTTGTGCTACACCTTCTGGTCGGACGCGCGCCTCCATCAGGGGCAACGACAGGGGGGGATAGGCATGGAGGGGGATGAATCGACCCCCAAGCGCCCATTGATCGTCGATACGGGGGGCCCGACAGCCCCAAGCTGCCCAGGAAGGGGCGGATTCACGATCGGAGGCCTATCGCCGATCTATCGGCGACGTGTCGCCGATTTCCAGGTCGATGCATCCCCCCCTACAGTCGGGGCGCTGAGGAAGGAACCCTTTTCGTTGGGGAGGGGCTCGGTGTTCCTCGATTGCTTCACAGTTTGCCTTGGGTTTTCCTGAGGTTTCCCATGGGGAATCGAAGCTAAACTTATGAGAAAAAAGGAACCTCGTTCCTTCTTTCGGGTTCCTTAGGTCAACGCCCCGACTGTATGCCAGTCCCCCCCAACCGTTGCCCCTCACTTGAGAGGAGGGCGGTCGGGGACCTCCAGGGAGGCCCTGCGGGGACCTCTGAGTGTCCCCAGGCACTTCCAGAGGCCTCCCGACGACGTCGTCGTCGTCGACGTTGCGTCGTCGTCGTCGTCGTCGTCGTCGTCGTCGTCGTCGTCGTTGCGTCGTCGTCGTCGTCGTCGTCGTCGTCGTCGTTGCGTCGTCGTCGTCGTCGTCGTCGTGGTCGTCGTTGTCGTCGGAGTGGGAGTCGGAGGAGAAGGCGGCATCGTCGTCGTCATCCTAGTTGTCTTTGTCGTTGTCGCCGTCGTCGTCGTCGTCGTCGTCGTCTTTGTCGGCTGTGTTGTCTTCGTCGTTGTCGCCGCTGCGGTATGCCTCCCTGCTGAATTCAGGATCCCTTCGGAGATCGAGGATCGATGTCGTTGGTCGTTGTTCCCTCCTCAATTCTCTTCCTCTCCCCAACTCTCCCCCTCTCCCTGTGTGTTTTCCGCTGCAGAGGGGGAGAGGGGGAGGGCGGAGGAGGTGCCTTCTGCAGAGGGGCGATGACGGCCGAAGTCCGCTCCAAATCTGTCCCAACGCTGTCTCGGCTGCCTCTTGGGGGAATCTTGGGGCCTTCGTTGAGGCCTCTCGGAAGCTGTCTTGGGCGCGAATATTCCACCAAGGTCTTCCGAAGGGGTCTCACAGCCCTCCTGAGATGGTCTTGGACCCTCTTGCGGGGTTCTCGGGCAGTCTTGTGGCTCTCTGGAGCCAGTCTCGTGCCGTTTGGGGCCTTCTTGGGTTCCTTTTTGGGCAGTCTTGGAGCTCTCTGAAGCGTTTCTGAGGCCATCTCAGGCCGAAAGCTTGGGCGGCAAACTCCATGAACAACAGCTTTCGTTTTTTGTCATTGCGATTGGCCTTCCAGCGCCATGCTGGAGGTATCCTTGGTCCTAGGGCGTTTCTCCGGGGCTCATTGTGGCTTGTCAGGGCTGGTGAGGATCTCTTGTTACCCCTGGGACGTCTTTGGGTCGACTTGGGTTGATCTCGGACCACCCTGCAGCCGTCTTTGCATGGTTTTGCGGGCAATATTTGGGCCGTGCTGAAACAGTACCTGGTAGAGAAGGAATCGGGGCGAGCTTCGAGGCAGATCTGTTCCGAGGGAGGGGGACACCCCCAGAACGCGACATCCCGTACACGGCCACTTATTACCCCCAACCCTCCTGTGCTGGGCTCTCGTTTTGGATTATTCACTGTGGGGCCCACTCCTTCTCATTCTCCCACATCTCCTGCCTCGTTCTGCTCCGCTCCCTGGGCGGCTGCGAGCTGCGCAGCTCTCGCCACTGTCCGTGGGCTCCTGGGAGGCTCGGCGGAGGCGGGGGCCACGCGGATCACTTGGGGACCTCGCGGCTCTCTGGGCGGCTGCGAGCTGCGCGGCTGTCGCCACTGTCCGTGGGCTCCTGGGAGGCTCGGCGGAGGTGGGGGCCACGCGGATCCATTTTAGACTTCGCTGCTCCCTGGGCGGCTGCGAACTGCGCAACAGATGCCACTTTCATGGGCTCCTGGGAGATCCAGCGGAGTCTGGGGCCACGCGGATCCACTGTGGACCTCGTTGTTCGCTGGGTGGCTGCGAACTGCGCAACTGACGCCAGATTAGTGGGCTCCTTGGAGGCGCGGCGGATGTGAGGGCAGCGCAGGTCCGTGTGAGACCTCGCGGCCCCCTCGGATGCTGCGAACTGCTCAATTGTCACCACTTTTCGTCGGCTCCTGGGAGGCACGGCAGAGGTGAGGGCAGCGCAGATCGTGCATATTTGGCGATGTATTCTTGTGTATGGAACGTTCGTACAAGTATTAGCCTCGCGTGGAAAGGGGACTGGGCACGTCTCGGGTAATGCAAGAGTCTTGCGCCAATCCGCTGACCCCCACAAGATGTAAATAATCGACGGTTCGCCATTCATTTGAGCCTCATTGAAGCTTTTGTTGGCAGTCCAGTGGCCTTCGGCCCATCCCGCCACCGTGCCTTGCTTATGGGTCTGACTGAGGCTTCTTGGGCGCCAGCAGGGATCTCTTGGGAAGCCTCTGGAGAGCTTCTTGGAGGCAGTTCTGAGGCCTTTTGGGGATCGTTTGGGGGCATTCGGGGGCCTCTTGTGGGGTCTCTTGCCGGCCTCTTGGGGTTTCTTGTGAGGTGTTGGGCGCCTGCTGGCGGTCTCGGGTCTCCTCTTGGGGTGGGGGGCTCGAAATTTCAGTTCGACTTCCCCTCTTGGGCCCCTCTTGGGGCCCTCATGGGTGGTCTTGGGCGCCTCTCAGGCCAAGAGGGACCGCCTTGTGCCCCTCTTGGGGGCCTCTTGGGCCGTCTTGGTGCGATCTTGGGGCCCTGGACGCTGTTGAAGCCAAAACTGTGAATATGCAACAAATAAGCGTTCGTTTCCAGATGATATTGGGAAGATGTTGGCTTCTTGAGGCCCTCCTGCTGGTCCCCTTGGAACTGCCTTGGGGCGTCTTGGAGGCTTCTTGGGCCGTCTTCAGATTACCTTAGGTGTTTTTGAGGCCTCCTCGGCGTGTTGGAGCCCAGCTTGTGCAAGCTGTGATGGAGGATTGAGTCTCTTGGAGGCCAAGGAGTGTAGCTCTGGATGTTCCAGAGGCCCCCCCCCCCTGGCCCCCCCGGGCCCCCCCCCGCTCTAATTAGAATTTGGATCTTGGGGGAGGGTGACAGGCGAGGTGGACGGCCGAATGCCTCACACGCCTTTTCATCCCCGGCAAGCGGGGGTCGGCAGATTCAGGTACCGGCGGCCCAGATTAGCAGGTCGACCCTGCCAGATCAGGGGTACCCTGGCGGTACCCTCGTGTCCCGTGCTTCGCGACCCACGCCTTCTTACACTCCTGTGGCGATGTGGCCCTCGGAAGGGTCCTCGTGTCCTCTCGCGTGCCCTGTCCAATCACGGCCGACTGCAGTCGGCACGGTGGCGGACGTTTGGCACCACCGTCCTCCCAGGAGGGTCCCATGGCTCTGCTCTGCCCCGGGCGGGCGTCCGCTCCCTGCCCCTCCGCGGCGGCGCCGCCAGGCTGCGGGTCTCCCGTGCGCTCGGCCACCGAGCGGGCTTCGGCCAACCTTCTTCGCCGGGCGCGTTCCACTGCTCGCAAAGTGCCGACTCGCAGACGTCCGAAAAACACTTGCCTGCTCTGATGTAATTTATCGTAGATCCCCCGCGGTGGATCCATGCCAGTTGCGAGTCGAGTAGTTACTTTGCGAGTAGTGGAACGCGCTCGTCGAAGCCTTTACCCCCGAAGTCGTGATTTGTTTTTGTGTGTTCAGCAGCGTGGGCCCCAGAAGGCCTCGCATCCCCAGGGGCCCAGCTTCTCGTCCCGAGCCGTGCTCTGGTGGTCCTGGGGCCCGGGAGGGGCCCCCGTGGAGGCCGAAGCTTGCCCAGGGCCTCACGTGCTCTCCCTGTTTGGTTCCACCGCGCGAGGGGGGCTGAGAGGAGGTCTGGCCGCGATCCTGGCCAGAGCCGGCCGGCCCGTGGCGCAGCGCGGCCGAGGCGGCGATCTGGACGCCACGGCTGCAGGCGGCCGGCAGGGCGGCGAGGCGACGAGGAGCCCTCACTTCTGCGTCCGCGTGCCGCCGGCCCAGACGATCGCGACGCGACGGCCTCCTGGTGAGAGGGCAGCAAGGTGTCAGGGGCAACGATAGGGGGGGATAATCCGGGATAGGCGTAGAGGGGATGCATCGACCCCCAATCGCCCATTGATCGCCGACAGGGGGGGGGCCGATAGCCCCAACCTGCCCTGGAAAGTGCGGATTCACGATCGGAGGCCTATCGCCAATCTATCGGCGATGTATCGGTCGATGCATCCCCCCCTATGCCAGTCCCCCCCTATCGTTGCCCCTCACAAGGAGAGCAGAGGTCAGGGGCGTCTTCATTGGATCTCGGCGGTTCGGCATCGAGGGATACTCTCCAACAGCTGCGCCTCGCCGAGAGAGTGCCCGAATGGCTGCCGGATGCCCAGGTTATGGTCCGAATACCATTGGGGATTGGGATAAGCTCAGGGGGGATGATGCATCGACCCCCGATCGCCCACTGGTCGCCGATGGGGGCCAGATAGCCCACCCTGCGCAGGAGCTTGCGGTTTCACTATCGGGGGCCCATCGCCGATCGATCGGCGATGTATTGCCGATTCCAAGTCGATATTCCCCCCTCCTGAGCCAGTCCGTGTACGCGACCCTTTCACGTGTGCGCCTGGCGAGTGGTGCCGTGTACCCCCAGGACCGCGCGCTCGCGCTTGGACCCCGTGTCCTCCTTGCTTCCCGCTCCAGTGGAGCTTCTCCCTGGTCGTCTGCTGCCTCGATCGCGAGGAGATCTCAACGCTCTGAGCCGTTTGTCTTCTCCCAACGCCCATTTCGTGACGTCACGTGCGGTCGCCTCGCTGGTTTCGGGTCGGACCTTGCCTCTGGACTGTCTCTCGCATGACTTGCGCACGCAGGCCCTGGTGTTGAGGCTCCCTGGGATCAGCGCTTGCAGCCCACGTCCGCGGCCGCCCATACAGCCCTCTTGCTGCCTCGCAGGCCGGTGTCGTGGCACACGCGCGCAAGAACTTCCTGCCCTGAGCCTGCTCCGCCGCCCGCGGCGTCCCCGCCCCCTCTCGCGCTCCTCCCGCTCCTGTCTGTGCTCCGCTGGCACTCGTACAGGATCCGGGGCCGCTGGGACGGCGCCCGGGCGACGGCGGCGAAGGTTCCGCTCTCCAGGGCGCGCGCAGGGGGAGGAGATCGGCGACAAAAGGGTCACAATGGGCTCTTGGCACTCGTCCAGGACCCGGGCGCGTCGAAGCGGCGCCGCGGCGGGGTCCGCAGCGTCCGGGGTCGAGGGGAAGACCGCGATGATCATGACCAAGTCGTCGCGGGATCTTGTCGACGCCTTGGTCATGGTCCAGGCGGCCTTCGCCGATTCGCGAGGTTGATCTACTAAGTGGCGATGAGCCCAAGATGGACGATGACCAAACTCGGCACCGCTGTTTCTTGGTCATGGTCGCCGGTTCCTGTCCTTCCACAGAGGTCTGCCACGGTCCGAGTAGTTCTCGAGTCGACGGCGCGTCTCCCGCGCCGTGGGCGTCGTGCCCGCGTTGTTTTGCCGCTTCTCGGGCCAAGAGGGCAGGTCCGACGTCGGTCGCGCCCACGACGCGGGCGCAGTAGAGAGTGCCATCGATGGCGGCCTGCGCTCGCTCGTGCTGCCACGTGGAAGAGTGACTTTGGAGGTCGGAGAACTTCAACACCTTCTGAAGGCATCATCATCATAACGAGGACGAGGAGGAGGAGGAGCAAGGAGAGGAGGATGAGGAGGAGAAGGAGGAGGCAGCAGAGGCGGAGGCCGAGGAGGAGGAGGAGGAGCAGGAGCAGGAGGAGGTGGATGATGATGAGGAGGAGGATGATGAGGAGGAGGAGGTGGAGGAGGAAGAGAAGGAAGCTGAAGGGGGAGGAACAAAAAAAAAGGAGGAGGAGAAGGAGGAAGAGGAGGGGTTGAGAAGGATGAGCATAACAATGATGATGCTGCTGATGATGATGATGCTGATGCTGATGCTGATGATGCTGATGCTGTTGATGATGATGATGCTGATGATGATGCTGATGATGCTGATGATGCTGATGCTGATGATGATGATGTTGATGCTGATGCTGATGAGGATGCTGATGAGGATGCTGATGCTGATGCTGATGATGCTGCTGCTGATGATGGTGACAATGATGATGCTGCTGCTCATGATGATGGCAATGATGATGAGGATGAGGATGATAATGATAATGATGATGAGGATGAGGATGATGATGAGGATGCTGATGCGGAGAATGATGTGGATGAGGACGATGATGACGATGACGATGATAATAATGATGATGATGATGATGATGATGATGATGATGATGATGATGATGATGATGATGGTGGTGATGATGCAGATGATGATGCTGATGATGATGATTATGACGATGCTGCTGATGATGATGATGACAATGCTGATGCTGATGATAATGGTGACGATGCGGATGATTAAAGCATTATGATTATGATGATGATGGTGATACTGATGATGATGCTGATGATAATGATGTGGATGTGATGATGGTGAGGATGAGGATGATGATGACGATGGTGATGATGATGATGCTGCTCCTGCTGCTGCTGCCGATGCTGATGATGATGATGGTGGTGGTGATGATGATGGTGGTGGTGATGCTGATGCTGCTGATTATGATGATGCTGCTGCTGCTGATGATGATGATGATGATGATGATGATGATGATGATGATGATGATGATGCTGATGATCATGATGATCATGATGATGGGGAGGAGGAGGAGGAGGAGGAGGAGGAGGAGGAGGAGGGGGAGGAGGAGTAGGAGGAGGAGCAGGAGGAGGAGGAGAGACACGGAGGATGATCGAGGAGGGAGAAAGCAGGAGACGGAATATGACAGTAGGAATCCAACACGGGGGAGGAGGAGGAGGGTGGAAACCAGAGGAGGGATGATGACGATTCCGACGCTTACGATTATGAGAATGATAGTGCTGATGGTAATGATGCTGGTGATGGTGATTATGATGCTGATGACCATGATGATGCTGATGATGATGCTGATGCTGATGATGCTGATGGTGAGCATGCCAATGCTGATGATGGTGATGATGCTGATGATGATGATGCTGATGAGCCTGATGACGATGACGATGATGCTGCTGATGATGATGACAATGATTATGCTGCTGCTGATGATGACAATGATGATGAGGATGAGGATGATAATGATAATGATACTGATGATGAGGATGAGGATGATGATGATGATAATGCTGACGCGGATGATGATGATGATGATGATGATGATGATGATGATGATGATGATGATGATGATGATGATGATGCTGCTGATGATGATGATGATGATGATGTGGATGAGGACGATGATGACGATGATCATGATGATAATGATGATGATGATGATTATGCTGATGATGCTGATGATGCTGATGATGATGACGATGATGATGATGATGATGATGCTGATGATGCTGATGATGATGATGATGAGGATGATGATGATGATGATGAGTGCCATGATGATGCTGATGAGGATGATTATCACGATGCTGCTGCTGATGATGATGATGATGAAGAAGTGATGTTGATGAGGCTCAGTTCGTGGTGCTGGAGCTGCGTGTGAACGTATCTGCCGACGTTGCTCTCGTCACCAGCTTGGAGCTAGCCGTCTGATTTTTCGGTGAGTAACCGCTTGGATTGGTAGCCACAGCTCGGATTAAGGTCGATGAGTGCTATCGGAAGTTCTCGCCTTGGGCGCGTGGTGGTGAGGTCGTAAGCCGTTTCCAAAGGCGAGTGCATCAGTTTTTCCATGCTTGTATTTTCCTCGTCTAGTAGGTCGTCGGTGTATCGTATTCGCAGGCCGCCTTCATGGACTTCGACTACTCCTCCTCGTCCTCGGATCTCGGGTCAAGGGCAGAGGATGTTTGGCGATGTCGGTTCGTCGGTAGTACTTGTTGGCGAGAGCGATGCTGCAGCCTGCCGATGCGTTGGTATGCTGTCCGCGCCCCCAACCGAAGTGGATCCAGTGGTGCGCAATCGAGCTCTCGACGCGATGTGGAGCGTCTCGTGTGGGTTGGTGAACTTTGGCGCCCACCATCAAGAGTGCCCGGCAATGCCTGAAAGTGTCACTGATGTCATCGAGGCGGCCTGGCGCCTCCTTGAGCGTGAACGGGTTCAATCCGAGCACCGCAACTGGTTTGGTCGAAATAGTCGTATTAGTAGGGTCGGCGCCTGCGGGTGTAGGATCACAGATCTCACAGCCTGCGTTTTCACTAGCCCCACGTAGGTGACGGAATCGATCATCAGTAAGCGATTCGCCTTCGGCGGGCCCGTGCAATTGATATTTTGGTGGCAGTTCATGTTGAACGTGTGGCAGTCATTGATCAGCAGGGCTCAATGCTCGTTCGTGGTCTGGCCGTAGCTGATCAGCTGGAAGCAAGTCATGTTCCAGGTCTGGCCGTAACTGATTCACTGGGCGCAAGTCGTGTACAAGGTATGGCCGTGACTGGTCTGCTGAGCGCAAGTCACGTTCACGGTCTGGCCGTGACTGATCGGCAGGGTGCAAATCGTGTTAAAGGTTTGGTTGTAATCGCATCCCGGGCGAAGGTAGTTCCCGAGCACGTTCCACTGATGCAGGCTGCACGGACATAGTCCGTGGAAGCCCGCGAATTTCGCCAGGAAGTGGTTCCGTCTTGGGGTCGTCCTGCTCGTCCTCAGGCCAAGGAAGCGAGTCGATGTCGTCGATGGCGAATGTGGGCTGATCCTGTGTGCCGTCCAGTGAGTGCTGAGGGGCCTCAGCTGCACGTCGGTAGGAATGTGTCGATGTCGCTCGCAGTGGCCTGCTGTGGTCACTGACCACCGCGATCCCCGTCGCTGTCGCTGCAGGAGCACCTCCCGCGGCGCGGCTCCGAGAGCGGTCGCCATGGCAAGAGGCCCCCTGCCCTGGAGCCCGGGACGGGTTGAGGTCACAGGACCAGCTTTAAGTCGGGCATGTCTTTCCACAGGGGGACGATTGCTCGACCATTTTCGGTCGAACAATTGTCCGACGATGATGTTGATGATGATGGTGATGGTGATGATGATGATGATGATGATGATGATGATGATGATGATGATGATGATGATGATGATGGTGATGGTGATGGTGATGGTGATGGTGATGGTGATGGTGATGGTGGTGCTGACGGTGATGGTGATGGTGATGGTGATGGTGACGAGGATGATGATGATGCTGATGATGATGATGATGATGATGATGATGATGATGATGATGATGATGATGCTGAGGATGATGATGATGATTATGATGATGATGATGATGATGATGATGATGATGATGATGATGATGGTGATGATGATGATGATGGTGATGGTGATGGTGATGGTGATGATGAGGAGGAGGCGGAGGAGGAGGAGGAGTGAGGAAGGAGGAGGAGAGACTTGAACTTTTTTCCGAGGGGCGGCCACTCGCGGGCTCCTCTGTTGCGAGGGGGCGCTCCGCGCTGGTGTCGCCCCGAGGCCTGGAGCCCCGGCGTAGGACCGCTCCGAGAGTATACATTGGAGACCCATGCCACGAAACACCCTGCTTGCCTCAAGTCGGGCGTGTCCCCTTACAGGAGGAATATTCAAACAATAGTATGGGGACGTTTTTTTTGGTTGACTAGTTTTGACGACTTTTAGCATGTTTTGACCATTTTTTATTTTTCGTCCAAAGTCCGCCTGTAGGGGGACATGCCCGACTTAATGCTTGCCTCCAGGGTATCCTGGGTGTCTTGGGTTTCGATGGTTTTGCTCCGGAAAGCGTGACGCTCCCACGCCAAGAATCGATGGACGCCCCCTGGGGTCTCAGGGCTGGGCTTCTCTTGTGGAAGGCTTCTTGTGGACCGGCCTCCACTGTAGCGACAAGCATCCCGCCGTGATTTTTTGTCACGACGCGATCTTGTTCCGACCCCCCCCCCACGAGGAGCGGCCCTTCGCGGGCTCCCCTGCCGCGCGCCCGCTCCGCGCTGCTGTCCTTCCGCGGCCTGGAGCCCTGGCAGAGGACCGCTCCGCTCCTTCGCGTCGTCGTCGTCGTCGCTGCTTCGTCGTTGTCGCTTCGTCGTCGTCGCTTCGTCGTCGTCGTCGTCGTCGTCGTCGTCGTCGTCGTCGTCGTCCGAGAGTCATCGTCGTCGCAGAGTCGCCGGGGAGTCTTCCGAGACCGACGGGGGAGGATCAGCAGTAGGGAGGATGACAAAAATGAGCAGGGAGGAGGAGGAGGAGGAGGAGGAGCAGGAGGAGGAGGAGGAGCAGGAGGAGGAGGAGGCGGACAAGGAGGAGGAGGAGGAGGAGGAGACGGACGAGGAGGAGGAGGAGACGGACGAGGATGAGGAGGAGGAGGAGGAGGAGGAGGAGGAGAAGGAGATCAGGAGGATGAGCAGGAGGAGGAGGAGGAGGAGAAAAAGCGAGAGGATCAGGAAGAGGAGGAGGACCAATGAAAGCTTACGAGCCCTCTCTTCATAGGCCCCTACAACGGGTCATTTCCACAGAGGGAACTGCCTCGCTGGAAGACAATAGTTTGAAGACCCTGAGGCATGCCAAAACATTGTTCTCGGGATTCCAACGCCACGGATCAGCTTGAGTGTTGCGTATTGACGATCCTGAATCGTGCCAGAATGCCATTCCTGGGACTTCAACACAGCGAAACAATGTAATTGTTGCACCCTCATAATCCGGAGTCCCCCCCAACGACAATTTCTGGTACGCTGACCATGGGAATCCGTGAAACGCTTGCAAAGTTTACAAAACTAATGTGCGCGGTGCGAATGCGAGAACACCATTTTGAAAAGGAACCGCCCTCAATCCGTGAAGCTCTGGCGAATGTTTATAACGAATGCACGCGGCGCTAAGGCGAGAGACACATTTTGAAAACCAGTCGCACTCAATCCGCGAACCTCTTGCACATGTTTAAAGCGTATGTGCGCGACGCTAAGGCGGGAGCCACATATTGAAAACCACCCGCCCTCCATCTGTAAACTGTTGTCGTTGTTTTTAACTCTAGGGTCATAATTGGCGAGGAAGTCTCAGGCGAAACGCCTGGCCCGCCGTAAAAACTGGCTTCGGGGTGCGACAGGAAGAATTTATAAGGAAAAGGAATGGAGGAGGAGGAGGAGGAGGAGGAGGAGGAGGAGGAAAGGAGGAGGAAAGGAGGAGGAGGAGGCAGAGGAGGGTAGGAGGCGGCGCGGCGGCGCGGTGGCGGAGCTCGACCGCCCTGGGGCGTGCGCTTGCGCTGTCTGCTTCTCGGGGCAAGGATGGCAAGGGGGAGCGAGAGGGAAGACAGGCTGGATGCGCTCGCGCCATATCCGTCCTACGGTCTGGGACGTTTGGATCGCGTATCGCTCCGCCTGTCCTGGTCCACCGCTTGGGGCGACACGCTATCCACTTCGCGGTCCCGAGGCGTCAACGTCCCGAGCCTTTTCGAGCCCCCTGCCCTGCGGAGCAGAGCGGCACGCCGTCCATTCGCAATGCATAGCGTATCGCCGGGGCCGCCGGGGCGACACGCTATCCCACACTTCCTGGCCGTACCCCTTTCTACCCATCCCTTTCCACTGCGCTGATCTGTCTCTCTCCGCCGACGCGTGTCACAGCGCACCTGGGATTACAAGAAGGACCACATCTTGACATGCGCAATCGGACATGGGGAGCTGCTGCGTCGGAGGAGGAGGAGAAGGTGTCGGATGCGCAGCAGGATGAACACGAGGGAAAAGAAGGCCTAGGAACGAAGAGGTCGAGGATGAACAGCTGCAGCAGAAGCTTGAATCGAAGGAGCGGGAAGATCATGAAGACCAGGGGAAGGCGGAGGAAGGGAAATGAGGCGGGCGGCAACGATGAGGAACGACTCGGATCCAGAAAAGAGGGCCGCGCTGGGGCGAGAATGATATTCTGAACGACGGGAGCGAAGCGCCGATCCTGGAATGAGGCTCGCGCATCTGCCGGGGAGAGCGGAGAGTAGTATTCATATTCAGTAGTTGTAGAGAAGGGCGAGCAGGGAGGAGGAGGAGGAAGAAGGAAAGTAAGAACAAGAAGAAGGAGATGAGGAGGAGGAGGAGAGTTGGACTGGGGGTGTTGGGAATGGAGTGGGGGGGTCGAAGAAGGGGGAGGGTGGAGGGTGAGTGGGCGGGAGGGTTGGGTGGGTGGGGAGGGGCAGCGCGAGGGAGGGAGCGTGGGTGGGTGAGTGGAGTCGAAAAAGACACCCGCGCGAACGTCCGATCGAGCGCCCCAGGACATCTCCTCCCGTGGGTGCCCATGGGCGCCTCGTGGGCGCCTCGCGCTGCGGGCGTGCGCCGAGCTTTCGCCACGGTGCCCCCCCGCGGGCGCCCCGTGGCCGCTCGTGGGCGCCCCGCCCCGGAGGCGTGTGCCGAGCTCTCGCCCGGCGCCCGCCCGCGGTCGCCTCGTGGGCGCCCAGCGCTGGGGGGCTTAGCGGGCTTGATACGCCCGCTTTGACACGCAAAACGCACCGTGCTCAAAACGCTCGTGTCGATACGTTGCGTGTTGGCTCAACGGATTGGTCCACGTTTTGGCGAAGGCATTGCGTCAGACGTACGTTATCAGCCTACGTGTGGAGCTCCGTATCAATACGCCATTTTTTGCGTGCTGCGTGTCGGGGCAGCTGAGCTGGGGGGAGGTGGGCGGGTACAGTGCAAGCCAAGGCCAAGACGCACCCTGCTTGCCTCCAGGGTGCCCTGGGTTTCTCGGGCTTCGATGGCTTTCGCCGTGGGAAGAGACGACGTTGCCGCGCCAAAGAGATCACTGGACGTCCTGGGGTCTCGGGGGTTGGGCTTCTTGTGGAAGGCTTCTTGTGGACCGGCCTCCGCTGCATGCCGAGGTTTCGCCTGGTGCCCGCCCGTGGGCGCGCCCAGCGCTGGGGCGGATGTGCGGAGGTTTCGCCTGGTGCCCGCTCGTGGGCGCACATTGCGCACTACAGCGTGCTGCGCGTGCTGCAAACGTGCTTGCCGGCCCGTGGGCGCACGGCGAGCTGCGTGCAAGTCTTCCGGGTGTTGCGGCGCGTACAGGCACTTGCTGCCAGGATCGACTTTCCGAAACACAGCCGCTGCGCACCACCATCCCCTGGGAACTCTTGTAGTGTCCCCACGACGGCCGTTTGCTAAGTAGCATTACTGGCGAGGAATACGACAACGTAGCATTAGCACAGAGAGCCGCTGCTACAACGACAGCCAGCCAGTAGCACCACGACTGCCTAGTACGACTACTTCGAGGTAGTACTACTACTACAGCTCTGCTTCTACTACGGCTACTACGGCTACTACGGCTACGACTATACGTCGGTAACTTGCATTCGTAGGTCATTCGTACTACGTAGTAGCATTGCGACTACCGAATACCAGAACGAGGTAGTAGTAACTCAGGGTAGCAGTTGAACTCGTAGTAAGAAGTAGTGCGAAGTCAAGGCTTAGCACAAGTACGACCTAGGAGTTCAACCTCACAGTTCAAACTCGCATCATACCAACGTAATAGTAGTACTGGTAGCAGTCGTAGTAGTAGTAGTAGTAGTAGCAGTAGTAGTAATAGTAGTAGAAGTAGTAGTAGTAGTAGTAGTAGCAGTAGTAGTAGTATTAGTAGTAGTGGTAGTGGTGGTGGTAGTAGTAGTGTAGTAGTAGTAGTAGTAGTAGTAGCGTAGTAGTAGTAGTAGTAGTAGTAGTAGTAGTATGTAGTAGTAGTAGTAGCTAGTAGTAGTGTAGTAGTCGTAGTAGTCGTAGTAGTCGTAGTAGTAGGTAGTAGTAGTAGTAGTAGTAGTAGTAGTAGTAGTAGTAGTAGTAGTAGTAGTAGTAGTAGTAGTAGTAGTAGTAGTAGTAGTAGTAGTAGTAGTAGTAGTAGTCGTAGTTAGTAGTAGTAGTAGTAGTAGTAGTAGTAGTAGTAGTAGTAGTAGTAGTAGTAGTAGTAGTAGTAGTAGTTGTAGTAGTAGTAGTAGTAGTAGTCGTCGTAGTAGTAGTAGTAGTAGTAGTAGTAGTAGTAGTAGTCGTCGTAGTAGTAGTAGTAGTTGTCGCCGTAGTAGTAGTAGGTCGGTAGGTAGGTAGGGAGGTAGGTAGGTCGGTCGGTAGGTAGGAAGGTCGGTAGGTAGGTAGGTAGGTAGGTCGGTAGGTGGGTAGGTAGGTGGGTAGGTAGGTAGGTAGGTAGGTAGGTGATAGTAGTAGTAGTAGTAGTAGTAGTAGTAGTCGTAGTAGTAGTAGTAGTAGTAGTCGTAGCCGTAGTCGTAGTAGTAGTAGTAGTAGTAGTAGTCGTAGTAATAGTCGTATTAGTAGTAGTAGTAGTAGTAGTAGTAGTAGTAGTAGTCGTAGTAGTCGTAGTAGTAGTAGTAGTAGTAGTCGTCGAAGTAGTAGTCGTAGTCGTAGTAGTAGTAGGCGTAGTAGTAGTAGTAGAGGTAGTAGTAGTAGTAGTACTCGTAGCAGCAGTAGTAGTAGTAGTAGTAGTAGTCGTAGTAGTAGTAGTAGTAGTAGTAGTAGTAGTAGTAGTAGTATTTGTAACAGTAGTCGTTGTAGTAGTAGTCGTACAGTGACAGGAGCGCAACTGCTACTTCAGAGCAGTCGTCGTCGTGATGTGTACTCGCACTGCTACCACTGACCGTCAAGTATTGCTATTACGTGGCAGTGCCACGACGACGACTACTATTGTTACGACTACTACGACTACTGCTACTAATCATTTCGCGACGCAGTCGCAGTAATGATGTAGTCGTACCAGTACGTCTTGCTACTAGTACTACTGCTACTAGTAGTACCATTTCTACTACGATTACGACCGCGATTACTATTACTAGTACTGCTACTACAACAACAACAACAACTACTACTACTACTACTACTACTACTACGACTACTACTACTACGGCTGTGAGGACTACCACTCGTATTGCTGCTGCTGCTACTACTACTACTACTACTACTAGTACTACCACCACTACTACTACTACTACTACTACTACTACTACTACTACTACTGCTACTACTACTACTACTAGTACTAGTACTACTACTACTAGTACTACTA